AGCAATCTTGAAAAATAAGAACAAAGTAGGCGGGATCACAATACCGGATATCAGGTTATACGACAAAGTTACTGTAATCAAAACAGCCTGGTACTGGCACACAAACAGGCACATAGATCAGTGGAATAGAACAGAGAACCCATAAATTGACTCAAAACATTATGCTCAATTAATATTCAACAAAGGTGCAAGAGCATACAATGGAGTCAAGGCAGCCTCTTTAATAAATGGTGTTGGAAAATTGGACGGCTAAATGCAAAAAAATAAAACTAGACTATCAACTTACACCATACACAAGAATAAACTCAAAATGAATAAAAGACTTAAATGTGACTCGTGAATCCATAAAAATCCTAGAAGAAAATGTAGGCAAAGAAATCTCAGACATCATATGCAGCAGAATTTTCAGTGACACATCACCTAAGGCAACAGAAACAAAGAAAAAAAAATGAACACACAGGACTACATCAAACTGAAAAGCTTCTGCACAGCAAAAGAAACAACCATCAAAGTGGAAAGCCAACCCACTGTATGGGAGAGCATAACTGCCAATGATACATCAGATAAGGGGTTAATTTCCATCACATATAGTGTGCTTATACAACTCAACAAAAAGAAAACAAAGAACCCAATGAAAAATGAGCAGAGGAGCTAAATAGACACTTCTCCAAACAGGACATACAACTGGCCAAGAGACATATAAAGAAATGCTCCACATCACTAATCATCAGAAAGATGCAAATTAAAACAACAATGAGGTATCACCTCACACCTGTCAGAATGGCCGCCATCAACAAAGCATCAAACAACAAGTTTTGGTGAGGGTGTGGAGAAAAGGAGACTCTAGTACACTGCTGGTGGGAATGCAGACTAGTGCAGCCACTATGGAAAATACTATGGTGTTGCCTCAAAACATTAAAAATTGAATTGCCATATGACCCAGTGATCCCACTTCTAGGAATATATCCTAAGAAGCCTGAAACACCAAAAAGAAAGAATATATGTACCCCATGTTCACAGCAGCACTATTTACAATAGCTAAAATCTGGAAACAGCCTAAGTATCCAAGTAGACAAATGGATAAAAAGCTGTGGTACATATACACAATGGAGTACTATGCAGCTGTAAGAAAGAAAGATCTCTTATCCTTTGAGACAACATGAAGGGACCTGGAGAGTAATATCGTAAGCGAAACAAGCCAAGCAGAGAATGACAAATATCACATGATGTCACTTATTTGTGGAATATAATGAACATAACAGTCTGAAAAACAGGGTAATCCCAGAGACATGGAAGTAGGGTACAGACTGACAATCCCCAGAAGAGGCGGAGAGTGGGGGAAGAGATGAACCACAGAACTTATATGCATGTATGCATAACCAATGGAAATGGACAACAAAGCTGGGGATGCGGTGGGGAGGGAAGGAGAGGAGGGTGTCAATGGGGGACAAAGGAGAAACATCTGTAACAAAATAAAAATAAATAAATAAACAAATAAACAAATAAATAAATAAATAAAATAATGGCTGAAAATTTCACTAACCTTGTGAAGAAAAAAGACATAGAAATCTAGAACACACAGAGAGTCCCATACAAGATGAACCCAAACCCCAAACCAGCCCACACCAAGACACATCGTAATTAAAATGTCAAAGGTTAAAAACAAAGAGAGAATCTCAAAAGTAGTAAGAGAAAGACAGTTAACTACAAGAAAGCTCCCATAACACTGTCAGTTGATTCCTCAATAGAAACAATCCAGGCCAGAAGGGATAGGCATGAAATATTCAAAGTAATGAAAAGCAAGGACCTACAACCAAAATGACTTTACCCAGCAAGGCTTTCATTTAAAAATTGAATGAGAGAAAAAAGAGCATCACAGAGAAGCAAATGCTAAAGAAGTTCATTACCACCAAACTGGTATTACAAGAAATGTTAAAGGGTCTTAAGAAAAGGAAGAAAAATGGAAAAGAAAACAAAAACAAAAGAGATGAACCGGTGACAAATAGTGTACCTGTTGAAAATCACATTAAAAGTAAATAACTTAAATGCTCCCAAGAAAACTCCCAAGCTCTTTTTATGAGGCCAGCATTATCCTAACTGCAAAACCAGATAAAGACACTACAAAGAAAGAAAATTATAAGCCAATATCTTTGATGAACATAGATTCTAAAATCCTTAACAAAATATTAGCAAACTGGAACCAGCAGTACATTAAAAAGGTCATACACTGTGATTAAGTGGGATTTATTCGGGATGCAAGTTTGGTACAATATCCATAAATCAATAAACATGATACACTACAAACAAAATAAAGAATAAAATCCACACTATCATATCAATAGTGTGCATAAAGATCATCTGATAAAATCCAGTACCCATTTATGATAAAAACTCTCAGCAAAGAGGGAATAGAGAGATCATAACTCAACATAATAAAGGCCAAATATAAAATCCCACAGCTAACATCATACTCAATGAGCAAAAACTACAAGTATTTCCCTTAAGATATGCAACAAGACAGGGTTGTCCACTTACATACTGGAAGACCTAGCCATAGCAATTAGACAAGAAGAAGAAATAAAAGGCATTCAAATTAGAATGGAATAACTAAAACTGTCATTATTTGTTGATGACATAACACTGTGTATATAGAGAACACTAAAGATTCCACCAAAACTACTAGATCTGATAAATTAATACAGTGAAGCAGCAGCATACAAAATAAATATCTGAAAATAAGTTCCACTTTTATACACCAATAATGAACTATTAGAAAGGAAAACTAAGAAAATAATCCCATTTACAATAGCATGAAAACAAACAAACAAACCCAGGAATAAATTTAATCAAGGATATAAAACACCTATACTCAAAATATTATAAGACACCGAAGAAAGAAAATGAAGAAGCTACAAATAAATGGAAGCATACACCATGTTCATTTATAGGAATAATTAATATCATTAAAATGTCCATATTACCGAAAGCAATCTATAGATTCAACACAATTGCTATCAAAATACCAATGGTATATTTCACAGAGCAAGAAAAAATATTTCAAAAATGTATATGGAACCACTAAAAACCCCAGATAGCCAGAGCAATCTTGATAAAAAGGAACAAAGTTGGAGGGATAATGCTATCTGATATCACACTATACTACAAGGCTATAGTTATCAAAACAGCATGGTGCTGCATAAAAATAGACACATAGATCAATGAAACAAACTAGAGAGCCCAGAGATAAACCCACACCTTTATGATTAATTAATATTTGACAAAGGAGGCAAGAATATACAATAGGCAAACACGGTTTATTCAATAAATGGTACTTAGAAAATTGTACAACTAATTGCACAAAAAAATGAAACTAGACCATCTTCTTACACCATATATAAGAATTTGAAATGGATTAAAGACTTAAGTTTAAGACTCAAAATCATAAGTTGTAAATTAGATTGTTTTCTTTCTTTCTCAGATGTTTTGTTAGTATATAAAAATACAATTGAATACGGAAATAGTCAAATAACTATGAATGGTACCAGGGGGTACTTAAAATGTAGAGGAGACCACTTCGCAAAGTGTATGATTGTCTAACCACTATGCTATACACCTGAAACTAATTTAAAATAATACTGAATATCAACTGTAATAAAATATTTTTAAAATGAATTTAAGATAACATTCATATCTCTAGTGAGACAAATGAAAGTTTGACATACATTTTGGCAAGTATATGGACCAAAAAGAATGTTCATCATCTTCTAATGGGGCTCCAAATGCTAAACACCACTTCCTAAGTGGTTGTACACTGCCAATTTGAACATTCACAAACACTATGACCCAGCGACTCGATTCTTAACTGTACCATAGTGAAAGTCTTACACATATGTACCAGCAGGTACACAAAAATGTTCAGAACATCTAGGTTGCCATAATGCCCCAAAGAGAAAACACTGGCATTTGTTTTCTACTTATTTTGCTCTTTGGCATAACACATTCTGCCTCACATTGACATACAACTGATCTTTACCACCTGGGTTGGCTGTTGTTGGGGGTGGGGTTGGCTGCTTATAGGTTGATTATATAATCTTGTGCCTTGTGAGGACCAATTAATTAATAATACCCATGATAATGTACTGAGAAAAATTGAAATTAAAATGAAATAGAGCTATTTGATCATGTCTGCCATCGGTATGTGAGCCCTCAAAAGGGCCCAGAAACAATTTTCATTTGCCTCTGCCTATTAGATACTGCTCAGAACAAAGATCTCAATGAAGGAATGAATGAATGGATACTTACTCATATGACTTGACTTCAATTCCAGTCTTCCAATCCTTCAATAATGCTTAAAAACAACCTCTATATCAAACATTATAAGATTTGTCTCAACTTCAATCTGAAGTGGGAGTATTTTACTCCTTCTCTTCTGTGTACATTATGCTCCATTAATTTTCATTGCTCTTTACATGTTCTGTCAAATCATTTTTTGAATGTGTGATTGATATTCAATGTCATATCCATGGGGGCAGGCACTATATTTCAAATACGTGGCAGGCACCCAATAACAATCTATTATTAAGTGAAAGGGCCCTTCCTTTCAGTAAAGCAATTTTGTTATTTTCTTCCTCTTCATGTTCTACAATATCACCACCACATACTGCTAGACTTTAGTCCCTCTGACAGAACATACAGAAGTATCTCCATCTCAACCTTTCCTGGAAGATGGTTAAACAGATACCATACAAGTTAGCAGCTAAAGGTTAGAAAGAACACACAAATGTGATCTTAGTTTGATGTTTATCCTTTATTCACATGTATACCATGTGATGTTCATTGTAATGCTCTCTTCATTCCCTTTCAAATCATTTCAAGTTCATATGCTTGTTTTTTTCAGTAAGCAGAGGCTATAGATGAGGTTGCAACTAAAGTTCAGAAGGAGCTTCCAAATATGATCCTCATTTAGTCACTGAGAAACTTCCCAGAAGTTTTGGACTCACCTTTATTGAAAAATGTGCTGACCATAAAGCTGAAGAATATTGTGGAGATAGCAAAACACAGCAAAAAGACAAAAATAAGAGATGGGTCGCTGTACTGGATGATGGGCACAGGTTCCATCTAGCAAAACAATCAGGAAGCCGTTTTAGTCATACCCACAGCAAAACAAAAATGGAGAAACAAAACATCTTTAATTATTTTAACAGTCCTATCAGAACCAGTGCTGAGGGAGATATAAACAATTCACTAAGTACAGAGCTCCACACCTCTAGGTTTAAAGGTTACTTTGTGGAGGTACTAAGCAGGTACACGTTTGTTTTCCAGTAACCTGAACACAAGAGGCTCAAACCAGGTCTCTGCTTCCCCTCTTAAAGTTTAGCTGCAGCAAATAGACACTTGCCTTGACAAAGAAAATTAGGCACATCAAAAAGATGATAATTGAATACAAAATGAGGAATGTGAAGAAATAGGCAGCCCAGAGCATCCAGTTACTGAGTCCTATCATGAGCTGGTACTCCTGTGGAAGAGTTAGCACAAACCAGATGGATAAAGCTTGTAATGATACAAAATGCATTCATAGTTTTATGTAATTTAACTTCCACTACATTGAAATCGGTTATATAATATCATGCCCAGTTTATGGAGGAGGAAATCAAAGCTCAGAATCTCAAGTGATTTGATAATCACTCAGCTGGTGAGTGGCTGTTATGCTTATAAGCTGACATGATTTCCCCATAATTAGATATTGTTCAGATATAAAAACACTTAAAACTATAAACCACTTAGATTAATATCTCCTTCTTATTTCTTATGTACTCTTCCAGAAGGCATTAAAGGAATGTACAACACCAAGAGTGAACCCTAATTTACTCTTGAACTATAAATAATTTTGATGTATCAATGCAGGTTCATCAATTGTAACAAATACACCATTGTGGTGGGTAATGTTAACAATATGGGAGTCTAGGCAGGAGTTAAGCAAGAAATCTCTAAAACTTCCTCTCAATTTTGATAGACCTTGAAGGCATTATGCTAAGTGAAATAAGTTGAACAAAGAAAGATAAATAGCATATTATCTCATGTAGAATCTTAAAAAAACAAACAAACAAACAAAAGCTCAGATAGAAAACATATTGGTGGTTTCCAGAGTGGGGAAGGGGGGGGGGCAAAATGAGTGAAGGGGGTCAAAAGGCACAAATTTCCAGTTATAAAACAAATAAGTTATGGGATTGTAATGTACAGCATAGTGACTATAGTTAATAATACTGCATGGTATATTTGAAAGTTGCTAGACAGTGGATCCTAAAACTCCTCATCATATGAAAAAAAATTTTTAACTATGTATGGTGATAAATGTTAACTAGACTTATAGTGCTGATCATTTCACAATGTATAAAATATTGAATCATTTTTCTACTCCTAAAACTAATGATATATGTCAAATATACCTCAATAAAAAATAAACTTTATTTCTCCCTTTCCTTCTTTGCTTTTTTCCTTTTATTTTATTTTTTATTGATTAATTAATTTATTTTTATTACACATTTCTCCTTTTCCCCCTACAGATTCCCCCCTACCCCACACTACCCACCCAGTCCCGATTTGTTGTCCATGACCACTGTTCATGCATATATGTATATAAGTTCTGTGGTTTATCTCTACCCCACAACCCTCTGTTCTGGGAATTGCCCGTCTGTACCTCAATTCCACATCTCTGGAACTACTCCACTCCTCAGAGTTTTATGTTCATTATATTCCACAAACAAGTGAGATCATATGATACTTGTCTTTCTGTTTGGCTTGTTTCGCTTGGATAATACTTTCCAGGTCCCTCCATGTCATCTCAAAGGATAAGAGATCTTTCTTTCTTATAGCTGCATAGTACTCCATTGTGTATATGTACCACTGCTTTTTTATCCATTCTTCTACTGATGGACATTTGGGCTGTTTGCATATCTTAGATATTGTAAATACTGCTGGTAATAACATGGGGGTACATATATTCTTTCTGATTGGTGTTTCAGCCTTCTTGGGGTATATTCCTAGCAGTGGGATCACTGGGTCAAAAGGAAGTTCAATTTTTAATTTTTTGAGGTAACACCATATTGTTTTCCATAGTGGCTGCACCAGTCTGCATTCCCACCAGCAATGTACTAGAGAACCCTTTTCTCCACACCCTCACCAACACTTGTTGTTTGATGATTTGTTGATGGCGGCCATTCTGACAGGTGTGAGGTGATACCTCATTGTTGTTTTAATTTGCATCTCTCTGATGATTAGTGATGTTGAGCATTTCTTCATATGTCTCTTAGCCATTTGCACGTCCTGTTTGGAGAGGTGTCTATTTAGTTCCTCTGCCAATTTTTTAATTGGGTTCTTTGTCTTCCTTTTGCTGAGTTGTATGAGCACTCTATATATATATTGGAAATTAACCCCTTATGTGATACATCATTGGCAATTATGCTCTCCCATACAGTGGGTAGCCTTTCCATTTTCATGATTGAATCTTTCGCTGTGCGAAGCTTTTGAGTTTGATGTAGTCCAATGTGTTCATTTTCTCCTTTGTTCCTATTGCATTAGGTGATGTGTCAGTGAAAATTCTGCTGCATATGATGTCTGAAATTTTGTTGCCTACAGTTTCTTGTAGGATTTTTATGAATTCATGAGTCATATTTAAGTCTTTTATCCATTTTGAGTTTATTCTTGTGTAGGGTGTAAGTTGATGGTCTAGTTTCATTTTTTTTTTTTTTTTTGCATGTAGCTGTCCAATTTTTCCAACATCATTTATTAAAGAGGCTGTCGTTACTCCACTGTATGCTCTTGCCACCTTCGTCAAATATTAATTGAGCATATTGCCTTGGGTCCATTTCTGGGTTCTCTGTTCTGTTCCACTGGTCGATATGCCTGTTTTTGTGCCAGCACCAGGCTGTTTGAATTACAATGGCTTTGTAGTATAACCTGAAATCTGGTTGTGATCCCTCCTACTTTGTTCTCCTTTTTCAAGATTGCTGCGGCTATGCGAGGTCTTTTTTGCTTCCATATGAGCTTTTGAAGTATTTGTTCTAGTTCTGTAAAGTATGTCATTGGTACTTTGATGGGGATTGCATTGAATCTATAGATTGCTTTGGGTAGTATGGACATTTTGATGATGTTATTTCTTCCAATCCATGAACAAGGTATGTGCTTCCACTTTTTTATATCTTCCTCTATTTCTTTTTTCAATGACCTGTAGTTTTCTGAGAATAGGTGCTTTATTTCTTTGGTTAAGTTTATTACTAGGTTTCTTAATTTTTGGTCTCAATGGTAAATGGGATTGTTTTCTTAGTTTCTCCTTCTGTGAGTTCATCATTGGTGTATAAGAATGCCATCAATTTCTTAATGCTAATTTTGTATCCTGCTAATTTGCCAAATTTATTAAGTCTCGTAAATTTTTGATGGAGTCTTTGGGGTTTTCTACGTATAATATCATGTCATCTGAGAATAATGAACGTTTCACTTCCTCCTTTACATTTGGATCCCTTCTATTTTTTCTTCCTGTTTGATTGCTGTGGCTAAGACTTCCAGTACTATGTTAAATAAGAGTGGCAAAAGTGGGCATCCATGTTTGTTCCTGTTCTTAAGGGAATTGATTTTAGTTTCTGCCCATTGAGTATGATGTTGGCTGTCGGTCTTTCATATATGGCCTTTATTATGTTCATATATGATCCCTCTATTCCCACACTGCTGAGCGTTTTTATCAGAAATGGATGCTAGATTTTGTCGAAGGCTTTTTGGCATCGATTGATATGATCATATGATTTTTAGCTTTCATTTTGTTTATGTGGTGTATCACATATTGATTTGCAAATATTGTACCAGCCTTGCATCCCTGGGCTGAATCCCACTTGGTCATGGTGAATAATTTTTTTGATGTATTGGTGGATTTGATTTGCTAATATTTTGTTCAGGATTTTAGCATCTGTGTTCATCAGGGATATTGGTCTCTAATTTTCTTCTTTGTAGTGCCTTTTTCTGGTTTTGAAATTAGAATTATGCTGGCCTCATAAAACGAGTTTACAAGTCTTTCTTCTTCTTGAATTTTTTAAATAGTTTGAGGAGAATGGGTATTAGTTCTTCTTTGAATGTTCAGTAAAATTCTCCCGTGAAGCCATTTGGGCCAGGGTTTTTTTGTTTGCTGGAAGAGTCTTGATTACATCTTCAATTTTTGTTGTTATTTGTCTGTTCAAGGTTTCTATCTTTTCCTGGTTCAGTTTTGGGAGACAATGTGTTTCTAGAAATGTGTTCCTTTCAATTAGATTGTCGAATTTGTTGTCGTATAATTGTTCATAATATCTGTTAACAATCCTTTGTATTTCTGTGGTGTCAGGTATTATTTTTCCTCTTTCATTTCTGATTTTGTGTATTTGGGTTCTCTCTGTTTCTTGGTGAGTCTAGCTAAGGGTCCATCAATGTTATTTATCTTTTCAAAGAACCAATTCTTTGTTTCATTGATCCTTTGAATTGTTTTTTTGGTTTCCATGTCATTTAGTTCTGCTCTGATCTTTACTATTTCCTTCCTTCTTCTTGCTCTGGGGTTTTCTATTTGCATTCTAGTTATGTAAGTTGTGAGGTTAGATAGTCTATTAGAGATTTTTCTTGCTTCTTGAGGTAGGCCTGTAGTACTATAAACTTCCCTCTCAGAACTGCTTTTGCTGCATCCCATAGATTTTGTGTTGTTGTGTGTTCATTTTCATTCATTTCCAGGAAGTTTGTAATTTCTTCCTTGATCTCCCTGGGAACCCATTCATTGTTCAATAGCATGCTATTTAGCCTCCATGTTTTTAAATGTCTTTGCATGTTCTTGTTGGAATTGATTTCTAGTTGCATGCCATTGTGATCTGAGAAGATGCTTGATATGATTTCAATATAGAACATGTACAGACTTAGTTTGTGTCCTAACATGTGGTCTATCTTGGAGAATGTCCCATGTGCACTTGAGAAGATTATGAATTCTGTGGATTTGGGGAGTAATTCCTTGCAGATATCTATTAAATCCATTTGATCTAGCGCTTCATTTAGAGTCTGTGTTTCCTTGTTAATTTTTTGTCTAGAAGGTCTATCCAGTGATGTCAGCGGGTTGTTGAAGTCCCCTGCTATGATTGTATTACTACTGATTTCTCGTTTGAAATCTTCTAGAAGATTTTTAATATATGTTGGTGCTCCTAAATTGGGTGCATATATGTTTACCAAGGTTATATCTTCCTTTTGGATAAATCCTTTCAATATTATGTAGGGCCTTTTTTGTGTCAAGTATGGCCTTCATTTTGAAATCTACTTTATCAGATATGAGTATAGCTACCCTAGCTTTTTCATTGCTTTCCATTTGCTTGAAAGATTTTTTTCCATCCCTTCACTTTCAACTTATGTGTGTCTTCTGTTGTATAGTGCGTCTCTTGTAAACAACATATATGTGAGTCATGCTTTCTTATCCAGTCAGCTACTCTGTGTCTTTTGATTGGAGCATTCAAACCATTCACA